CCGCCAGGGCCTGTGCCTCTCGGGCTGAAGACTTGCTCCGGCTGTTGGGGACTAAAGACTGACTCCCCATGTTAAGCTTCGGAAGGACCGGGGTCTTGCGTTTCCCCTTCCCGTCTGGCACTTGACAGTAAATGCGGTGGGTGGGCGAAAGGAGGAGGTGCGAGCATGCACAGACAGAGGCAAGAGAAACCTGACAGTAGGTGGAATCGTCATGAAGCAGTAAGATACGCTTGGGTCTGAACACCAAGGACCCTGTGCTGTAAGCTCTGTTGAGAAATTTGGGCTTTGTGATGAAGACGGTAGGGAGTCGAGGATTTGAGTAGGGAAGTGGGTTGATTTACTTCATATGTTAAGATCACACTGGATTGAGCTGGGCATTGGTGGCGCACGCCTTTAATGCCAGCACTCGGGAGGCAGAGGCAGGCAGATCTCTGTGAGTTCAGAGCCAGCCTGGTCTCCAGAGTGACTGCCAGGATAGGCTCCAAAGCTACACAGAGAAACCCTGTCTCGAAAAACCAAAAAAAAAAAAAAAAAAAAAAAAAAGGATCTCTGGGTTGAGAGCTTGTCAAAAATAGGACTACAGACCCTGAGATTAGGAGGGAGGTCAACCCAACCAGGTGAGGACTAACAGTGAGTATGCATGTTTCTCCATGCAGTAGGGTGGAGAGACTGGAAAGATTGAATAGGTGTTTAGGAAATGCAATGAACAAAATTTAGTGCGTGGGCTAAGGGGATGGGAGGGATGAGGAACAGGGAATGCCTCCTGGAGTTTTGACCTTACCCGCCTGGTGAATGGTTTTCATCTGTTGAAGTTGGTGTTTAGAAGACTAGCAGATTTGAGGCAAGGGAGAATGACCCAGTTTGGGAGAGCTTTGGTCAGTGTGTATGGGAAAACCTACAGTTTAAGTGGGATAGAGTGATTTGAGGCTAGTGTGTATTCAGGAATCCAAAGTGCCCTAGAGTGTGTGGAGTGAGAACTAGGATCAGAAATAGAACTTAGTAAATGCCAATAGCTCAATTGTGGGCAGAGAAACATACTTAAAAAATAAAGAGTAGCCAAATGGCAAGAACACTACAGTTGGGTCATAGGATCTGTACAAAGAGATGATTGTTGAAAAGACAGAGTGGTTAAGAGCATCACACACCACAGGGCATTATGCAGAACCAGAACTTGTAAACAAAGGGTTGTTTTCATTTTATGCATTTGAGTGTTTTACCTCCATATGTGAATATGCACTTGGTGCATTCCTAGTGCCTGTGGAGGTTCAGAGGAGGACATTGGATCCCCTGAAAATGAGTTAGGTGGTTGTGAGATGCCATATAGATTATGGGAACCAAACCTGGGTCCTCTGTAAGAACAGCAAGTGCTCTTATCCACTGAGACATCTCCCCAGCCCCTAAATTGAAACTTTTTTTTTTTTTTTTTAATAATCTGCTAATTGGAAAAAGGGAGACTTGAGACTTGAGAGTTCATATAGAAAATGGGGTCCAGAGCCTAGGTGGAGGAGGAAGGGTTTAAAGAGCAGTGAGTAGTGTGTGACAGGGGACTTGGGCATCCTGGTGGCATCTTCCTCTGTATAGTGTTTATTGAAGTTCTCTCCTGTTTGTGGGGTGGATAGATCAGGTCCAGAGTCCTGCTTCCTTTCCTATGTCCATAGCATCTGGCATGGAACACACACTAGTAAGTATTCCATACACTGCTGTGGGCAGAAAGTGCCAGAAATGACAAGCAGTGCTGTGCCGTTCTAGGCAGAGTTTTAATTCTGGTCAGTAATTGAGCAGGGCTTCATGGAGGAGATGATACTTGCTCTTTTGATAGAACTTTATGAGAACAAGAGCAGAAGGGACTGTGGAGGCTGAAGGTAGAGTGTGGAGATTTGGAGTGGCACAGTGAGGGATGCAGAAAAAAGATAAGGGCCTGGGTAGCAGCTGCAGGGAACCCTGGGGGAAGAAGGCTGCTGTTTTCTGGTGTCATCTACCCAGGTGCTGGTGGGGGCCCTTGTCTTCGACCTTGCAACCGAAGACCATGATGTTGCTTCTTGGTCCCATGTTCATGGGTTCCTTAAGCCGTGCTCCTTATTGTTCTAGCTGCCAGCTCCAAAACTAGCTCTGGAGATGCCTCGTCACTTAGCATCGAGGAGACCAAGTGAGTAGCCCTTATGCTGTTTTGATTTTCCTCTGAGACTGGTTGCACCTGGGGCTGTTACCTATAGAAACTTTTTCACTCTAAATGAAGCCAGTTAGAATTGGAATGGCCAGATGAGTCATACTGCCAACCATAGGAGCTACGTGGAAGAAACTGAGACCCAAGAGGAAGGATAGTCTTCCCCAGTCAGGAAGCCTGTTCTGGAAGCCTGTGTCTTCTTCATGCCCTAAGCTGCCAGGATTAGGGGCTGTACTTATTACCCTAGAACCACTCATTCTCACCTTGTTTTCACCTCCATAAATGTACTTGTTATCACATTTCTTAAGGTAGACCCTAATACTTCTATCTCTTGTCTTCAGCAAACTCCGTGCAAAGTTGGGGCTGAAACCCTTGGAGGTCAATGCTGTCAAGAAAGGTGAGTATAAAGTTGAGGAGAGGGCTGAGCTGGGGCATCTAAGTGGGAAGAAAGTTGGGCTTAGCATGCAGAGGCAACTCCATGTATGTTTTGTCAGAGGGCCAAGACTTGTCCTTTGTGTCTTGAGAGGATCTGAGATGTGCTTTTCCAGTGTGGCCTTGGCACCTTCACCCTGGCTTTAGACAGGTCTATGCACAGTTGCTGTAGGCTAAGTGTGTTAGTTTTTTGTTTGTTTGTTTTTTTAAACAAATTGGCGCACCAAAAAAAAAAAAAAAAACACCAAAAAAAAAAAAAACAAACCCAAAAAAACCCCCACCGACAGTAAAACCCCACATGATCTGAGAAGCTTTGGAAGGCATAAAGGGGAGAGTTCCTGTCATACCATGTGGATTGACTAAAGTGGGGGGTGAGGTAGGAATAGGGAGGTGAAACAGTTCTTCCCCCCCCTCCTGGCCCCTTCTGGCCCCTGGGCTGGAAGGGGCAGGGTGAGTGGCTCCCTCCTCTCCCCACCAGCCATGGGCAAGCATAGCCTCACGTCTGGGCCCCCCTTCCAGAGGCGGGCACCAAGGAGGAGCCCGTGGCAGCTGATGTCATCAACCCCATGGCCTTGCGACAGCGTGAAGAACTACGGGAGAAGCTGGCAGCTGCCAAGGAAAAGCGTTTGCTGAATCAAAAATTGGGGTGAGAGTTTTCTGACCAATCAGGAAGACTGTCTTCGTTGCTTCCTTGCCCCCTGGGTCAGTCTGGGAAAACATGTTTGCGTTCCCTCCTAA